AATTTTCATGGAAATAAAAGATTTGGCATCCCCTCCTAAGATCAGGCCCCTACTTGGAGGCTTTCCTTCTCTCCCCTCTTTCGTTGAACTCCAAATTTTCTTCTATATCTGATATCAACCTTTCCACCTCTAATCTTTTCTTCTTCCTTCGGTTATTAATTGTTCCAGATTTGTTTAACACAACTTTTGTTTTATTTTGACTTTCCGAAAGTTCTTGGTTTTCCTCCACAGGTTCCTTTGTTTGCCTATTCTCCTCATGGAGAGCACAAATCTGTCCCCAAATCCTCTCTAATTCCTCCTTCTCCTTTCCCATAATTGATTCATCCCTGACTTTTTTGCTAATTTGAGTCCCTGTTTTTACTGAACCTTCTTGAACCCCATACTTCCCTACCTCTTCCTCTCTTCTCTTGTACTCCCCTAAATCCTCTTCCTGTAATTCTCTTCCCCTTTACACTTCCTCTCGTCCTTTACCCTCCTTGTCCCCAATTAAATATTTTCCATCCATGGCTGTTGCATCGAGTTGAGCTGCAAAAGTACTTGTTCCAGGCAAAAAACCCCACATCAATACCAAAAAATGAATTGACAATATTACCTGACAGGTTGTGGGAGAAGGCCAATGGATCTTGAGAAGCAAAACAAAGGAGCAAGGTCGCGTCTAGTCCTTCCAAAAGAGGTGATTGTGAGTCCCCATTGTGTTCAATCAATATTGTCTTATTCCTTGCATTAGAATCTGCCTTTAGATGTTGTCCCCTGATTGATACCATTGTGTTCAGTAATCGAGGTAAGTCCTATTCCTCTAGTCTTCTATTAGTGCCTTGCCACTCTAGCAAACTAAGAGCAAATTTAAGAGCCGGTATCCTTTGCCTCTCCTCTATAAAAGCTACGGTAGACCCCACTTCCTTAGGTAAGGGGGAAGGTGTTAGACAGTGTATGCCTTAGCTCCAATCAGAATGATGTACCTTATGACATTTAATGTAAATGAATAAAGTACATATTTGATTCATATTATTGTGGTGTGTTTCTGTGTAATACCCTGAAACTAGACACATGAGAGACTCGTGTTAGTTTAGACTCTTCACAGCCGCTGGATAGATCTTGGGAGATTTATCCTGCCAAGGCTGACACTGATGTGCTGCCAAGTTGGTTGGGGTAGCATGTCTCAGCTGCCAGGGTGATACCTAAGGTAAATGCAGTGTGGGTTTTCTTGAAACCCTGAACTGGACCAGAATTCCAATATTGCCCTGGACCTTGGAGATTGATGGGCAAAACTGGAA